CACGGGAGTGACCGTCATGCAGGAAGAAGCTATCCTCGCAGGTCCAGACGCGGGAGACAGGCCAGCGGGTCCCTTGGGGCCGCCCCAGGGCCGCCAGGAAGCAGGAAGGGTAGAGGGAAAGGCATGGTCCGCAGCCCTTACTGGGTTTCTTGTCAGAAAGATGAGGCAGGAGAGGAAAACAGCTTAGGATCGGGCAGTCTGAATGATTTTGGTGGGTTTGGCTAAGGCAGTGGCCTTAGTTGTCTGGTCCCTGAAACTAGGGTGACTCGGTCCAGGGGGATCTTGGTTTGATGTGTGAAATAATAAAGCAGGGGGTTGAGGTGGGGGTGGCTTGGGACTGATTGGACTGGTTATGCATGGGATTTTTGCACGTCCCTTAAAGCTAGCCTGCAGGACACACAGACACAGCTTTGGCTGTTATTTTCGTCCTGTGAGTAGCAGGTGCCAAGTAGACAAATACAGAGTCTAAGAAAGCACAAGAAGCTAGCGTGAGGCAAGCATTCCTCATGCAGATGTGCCTGCTCCTCCTGACATTGAGGCTGTGTCTCTAAGTCTCCCAGGCACCCAGCAGCTCCACACCAAACCTCTGCGGACATTGCCTGTTCTTGCTTTCATCCAGATGCAATGTCACCTTGAAATTCTGTGTCCTGGAAAGTAAATCATAAAGTCCATTAAAAACACACAGCATATAAAGTAATGAGGTGGCAGAAAATAAAATAGATTTACACCAGGGGAGACAACACAGGCAGGCATAGCCCTCACTGTCACAAAAAATTATTACCCTTGGCATTTGCAGACTTCGCCTCCATCCGGTCAGAGCCAGCATCTTCTACAAAGATAAAACGCCCTCCTGGTCACTGCAGGGTTCCATGTAATCAGTTTGCCACCAGATAAATACTTTGGGCCTCTGGACTCAGGCACCCCATCTGGACCTCAGGGTTTATCAGTGTCGCAGCTGCTGGGGAGTCCTGGCATCCTGCAGTGGCGGCAGAGGGGATCACAGAGGAGCGGCAGCTGTGACTAACGTCCCCTGATTAAACACAACAGTGCGCTGACATCCACGCGGCCCGTGCGTCTAGGTGGAGCTCGGTTCATCAAGAGCCCCATCCCGCATCACTCTAGGTGCTGATGGTGTCCTCATCCTTGAGATTCCCCAGAGACGAGCTGCTGATTTTATCTATTATTTTGTAGGGGAGTTTTCTCTACCCAAGCCTGATGACCATGAGAAGTTTCCTTAATTCAAAGCTCAGCACTGAACGTCCAAACCACTCCCCCAGCTCCTGTGAGGAAGATGATGGTCTTTGCAGCTCAGAGCATCAAGCACTCGGAGAAGAGTGTCTCAAGAGTTTTCTCATATGAGGAGGGAGGTGGCAGGTCATATGTTTAAGTCTGTCCCTACGCCTGCCTCTGGGAACTAACCTCAGATGGTTAATGTGTATGTCAACTTTGCTGGGCTACGGAAGGCCGGGGAGGCTGGCAAGACCTGTTTCTGGATGAAGCAGCCACGCAAATTCTTCTCAAGCACTAGAGAGTTAAGCCGTGTTTTAAAACAGGGCTGCAAAACCAAAGCCCGAAGGAGGTGGCACAGGGGCGGAGGTTACAGGGACTCCTGAAGGAGGTGGCACAGGGGCAGAGGTTACAGGGCCGCCTGAGCAAAACCTAATGAGTTCACTGCAGTTCAGTGCAAATTCAGTGATTGGTGTCAGGTGTAATTTCTGAATTTTCACGATTCCATTAGCCAAGTTTTATAATTCCATGCTATCACCTCAAACATATTTGATACATATTAAAATGAGCAGACATAAGGGTTAGGATTTGCATTTCAAAAAGGCACCCAGTTTCCATATCGCCAGGGAGGGCTTATCTGCTGGTACCCCGGGTGGCAGAGAAGGCAGGGAGGCCTGACCCCCCAGAAAGGCAGGCAGCGCCAACCTCCTATTAATTGCCTGAGAATTCAGCAGGAAGTTCTGTGACTCACAGATTCTGGAAAATACTCCAGATGAGACCCATGTGTTAGCTTCCTGCCCCTGAGTAGACAGAGGCCCTGTGGTGGCGGCACCCACCTTGTGGTGGGTGCCCCTGAACGCAGGTGACTCTCAGCACAGAGTCTTCCAGGTTCATTTTCCGTCTCATTGGGGGATTTTTAAAATACGGTTCTGCAGGTGCGCCCTTCGCGGCCTTATTTACTTGTTCACGTACGTGTGCACGTACATACCAAGTGTGTCAAGGGCTTTCCACGGGTAACCAGTAGCACCAGTCAGGCAAGAGAAATCACTCCGGCTGCTTTAAGTAGAAAGATTTAAAGCAGGAAATCAGGAGCCTATAATCCTGTGAAAGACCTGGAGACCTGAGCTCCAAGCCGGGCTTGAAGAAACACTGCCAGAAACGAGTCGAGAGCCAGAAGCTGTTACCTTTGCCCCAGTTCGCCGGGCCAGCCCCGGGCCAGAGTTCAGGATCACCCGCCCCCTCCAGCCAGGGATCCCAGGCCTCGGAGTTGGATGGACTGAGCCACTGGGTGAAAGGTGATGCCGACTGCTAAGCAGGAGCCAGGCTGGGCGCACAGGCCACGCTGGAGACAGGGGACAGGGCCTCAGGGGCGTCCTGAGGACGCGACCCTGCAGTTTGGGCTCAGTCTTGCCCCTCAGACCAGCCCCTTCCTTACCGATGACAGCGGCCCCTCCCTGTCCCCCCACGGTATTTTCTGGTGAAAATATTATGTGTTGGCCACGGCCGGAGCTGTTTCTCTGCACAGAGGCTCTCATGTGGGCCTTGGCCAGGCGTCGCCGACTCCCGTCAGGCAGCCTTGGTGAACGCGGTCTCTTTCCAGCGCGGGCGGCGGCCTTGGCAAAGTCGCCCGGGATGGCCGTGCGGCCCCAAGCGGTGGCGCCGTCATCAGCACCGCCACCAGCAGCAGCTGCTAGGGCACAGGCCCGAGGCGACGACGCTGCCCTGGGTGCAGGGGTGAGGGGTGCCTTGCAAAGAACGAGGTGGGGCTGGCGCACCTTGTTCCCCGGCAGCCTACCCGCGCTGGGACGATGGAGAGCTTGGCCAGGGTGATGCCCTGGAGTTGGCAGAGGCTACCTCACTGGAGCATTAAACACCCAGTCCAACGTACCCTTTGTCATCCCTGCTGGCGACAGCTGCCTTGGACTAGGTCTGCTGGCCAGGCCAGGGCTGCTTTTGCACTGGCAAACCTCGTCCTTGAGGGACGGCCTCAGGGAAAAAGACAGTGAGCTCAGATTCGTGGATGGGTCAGGAAGAGACGCTCATGTCCTTGGCCCGGCGGGCCGGCTTGGTGACGGGGATCCGCTCTGGTCTTGGGCCTTGCCTCCGCGAGCTCCGCAGCCTTGGCCCAGTTCGCAGCCAGCCCCGGGGCTGCTGCAGAAGCCTCCTCGGAAGCCTCGGGCCTCTGGGCGCATCTGCAGCAGCACTGACAGGTCAGGCGGAGTCCCCACGGGGTGGGCTTGTGGAGACGTGTGGGCCCTTTCTCTCTCTCAGCCTTGAAACCCAGGGTAGCCACTGACCTCTAACTGTGACCTTTCCAAACTCCACGCAAAGTGTTCTGTCACCCAGTGTCACCCAAGCCCAGCTTCGAATGACCCTGCTGAGTTATTCCTACCGCGGGTAGGACTGACCGCCCCTGCGTCTTCGGTGCGGCTCTCAGGACGCATCTCACTCTCGGGTCTGGGGCTGGCGGAAGTGATGGGGCGCAAGGGAAGTAAGGTCTAGGGGTCAAGTTCACTGCAACAAAACACCCCGAAGTGCCTCATTTCTCTTGCTCATCAGATTGGTGACTGGGCAGTGCAAGAAAGTCGTAGTTCTTGGCTTCTGAAAGCATCTGATGTTGTCTCACACGTCTAGAGAAACCGGGGAGGCTCCCTTGGATAAACTCCCAGGTGACACCTAAGAGGGATGTGTCTCAATGTCTCTGTCCTGAGTCGTGTGGCGAGGAGGGACAGGAGCCAGACCCTAGTTTTCATTCGTGGAGCTGCGCATGGAGGCACTTGGAGCCCCAAGAAGAAGCTGCTGGGGGCTCAGACACCCCAGGCAGACGAAGACAGGGGTTCCAGGAGCACCAGGAGCTGACTGTGTGGAAGCTGGCACGCTCCAGGCAGCGCTGACACAGCAGAATTGCAAAGGGGCAATAATGGTCCGATTTTATCTTCTTAGCCTCGTTCCACGGGAGATGGGAAGCAAAGAAGTCTGGGTTGCCACACCACGCGTGGGGCGTTTTATTTTTATTCTTGACATACAAGGCACCTACAAAAGAAGGGTGCCCAAGCTGTGACTCTGCGGGGTGAGCCGAGCAGGAGGAGGACACGCACCCAAACACGGGGTGAAGGCTTGCTGCCCGCTGCCCCGCTACACACACACACTGAAAGGGTCTCCGTGTCCCTCCCCTGCAGACCTGCCTGCCAGGAGGGGGAGGCCTGGTAAGTTTGCCTTGAGCAGTCAGGCCCTCTTGGGAGACCTTGGGGAGGCGGTGGGGATGGTGCCCGCGGGTGCGGGTGCTGGTGCACCAAGGGAGCCCCGGGAGAAGGGCGGGAAGGGGACTTGAACCAGACAAGGCCAGAGCCGGGGGCGGGGCAAGGGCGGAGCCTGGACAACCACCGGGACGGGGCGGAGGCGGAGACTGGGTGGGGCGGGGCGAAGGCGGAGACTGGGCGGGGCCTGGACCCGACAGGGGCGGGGCGAAGCGGGGACTGGGCGGGGCCGAACAGCCACAGGGGCGGGGTGGAGGCGGGGAGTGGGCGGGGCCTGGGCCGCCACAGGGGCGGGGCGGAGGCGGGGACTGGACAACTGCTGGGGCGGGGCGGAGGCGGAGACTGGGTGGGGCGGGGCGAAGGCGGGGACTGGGCGGGGCTGGACAGCCACGGGGCGGGGCGGAGGCGGGGCTGGGCGGGGCCGGGCCGGCCGAGCCGGGATCCCCTCGGTCCGCTGAGTCCGCCCCAGCCCCGCGCCGCGCTGTGTCCCCCTCCCGGAGCCGCGGCCGGGCCGCGATGGCGCTGCGCGCGGCCATATTCGGCCTGGACGGGGTCCTGGCGCTGCCCTCGGTCCCCACCGCCTTCGGCCGCGCCGAGCGGGCCCTGGCGCTGCCCAGGTAAGGGGCGGACCCGGGCGGGGCCCCCAGAAGGTCCCCCCTTCCCCCCCTGGCTGCAGCCGGCGGGTCGCGGCGTGGGGGTGGGGTGGGGGGGCCCTGAGGAAGGTCGCAGCAGGGGCCGCCCTGGGGGAGCCCCGGGGCTCCGAGCGCTGAGCTCCGGCCTCGCGGGGGACAGCGCTGCGGGGCTCCCCGACGGGAGAGGCGGCGCCGGCCGCCTGCTGCCCGCTTCGTTCCGCGCAGTAGAAGGGGCCTCTGGACGTTGTGCCGAGATTTAGAAGAGAAAGAAGTTCCCGGCGTGGCAGGCTTCCTTGCAGCGAGCTGGACAGACACCCCAAAGCCTCGTGGGGCGCGTACCCCGCAGCCCCGGCGAACGCGCTGCTCGGGAGGGGGTGTCAGGGACGTGGGAAACATGTCAGGGGGGAACCCACCAGAATGTGAAACGATGCAACAGTGTTCAACTCTGGGGAAAAGCTACAAGTTGAAAAGTAGCTGTAAGGAACATTCCCGGGATTATGGATCCCGGGTGGGAATGAGCAAGAATCATTTTTTCTTGTTTCTCCGCTTGTTCAATTTATGAACATGTTTCAACTCCTCGGGTCAGGAGGAAGGACAGCGTCCTCATTTGAAAAAGGAAAGATTGCCCCGGCCCCCAGCCTGAGGAACCGCTCAGTCTCTGGCCCCAATAAGGAGCAGGGGGGAGTTCTACCCGGGCGAGGCTTGTGATGCCAAAGGCCAGCAGAGCCTCTCACCTGTTACTCCCTGGAAATGGTAGAAGATCAGTCTGCAAACAGGCTACATCTAAAGGGGACTCAAAATCCAAAGCAACCCTCATTTTTACAGATGTCAAAGCGAGTTCATCTAAGCCAACCCAGCTGAGACCGACTATTAAGCAATACTTTCCCCAGGAATTTTTATGAGGCTCCCATTAGATCATATGTAAGGGGACAGGGCAGCTGTGTCCCTGATACCTTTCTTTAGCGAATCCTCATTCATGTGCAGAGTGATCTAGCTGGCTTGCCAACCCCAGCCCACTGTAAACATTGGCCTGGAACAATGTGCGGAGCTTTGTTGTTGTTGTTGGAAGGGTCACCATGTGGCTGCCCCGTGTCTTGCAGAGGCTTTCTGATTGATGCTTTCCAGAGAGGAGGCCCCACTGGTTCCAGCACCCGCCTCATGAAGGGAGAGATCACGTTTTCACAGGTAAGACTGTTATAAGGCAGCCCCGATATTGAACGGGTTCCTGGCTGTGGGTCCTCACCTGCGCACTTACAAGGGACTTATGAATACTCCACTGCAGACACACACAAAAGGTTCATAAAAGGTTTATTGACAAGGGAAAGGGAAATAAGGAAAATGTACAACTCAGGGAGAAAATAGGGAAATAAAGTCTTTCATGCGTCCTACCCGATCCACCGACCTGGAAACCCAAAGTCACTCTCAGAGCTGGCCGGACGCTGCAAGCTGGCGGAGAGCCAACATGGGGGACCCCCCCAAAGCCCACGTGTCTGGCTTTATACCAACCTGGCTGCTGAACCCCACCCTCAGGTCCCAGCCACCTTCCCTTTGGTGGTGATGGGATTTGGAGTTCCCAGTGTCTTTGGCTTTGGCCTGGGGTGGGGGTGGCGTCCACAAAGCCTGTATGGGATTAGCTTGAGGACAGCCTTTTCCCCCTAACAAGACGACAGCACACAGACCCCTTCAGTAGCCTTCTGTGTCGGCTGCCAGTGAGCTCCCCACGGCAGGGCCACATCGGCCCCACCCATCCACCCTGGGGTGGGCTGCAGGCGGAGACACACAGAGGCCTATTAGAGGGGCTGTTTCCTCTTTGGGGCCAAGCAGAAACTCTCACACCAATGATTGGGGAGCGTCCAGGCCCCCAGAATCCGGGCCAGAGCGGGGGTCACATTCCCCATGGACGCAGGGGTTGGAGTGGGTTTGTGGTGCCTGCTGTGAACACCCTGCACACGCCCCAGCTTCTGGCCTGAGTGCAGCCTCTAAGAGACTCTGGTGGCCAGAGGAGGTGGTCGAAAAACAGTCAGGTCATGCTCCAGGCTCCTTAGGCTCGATTGACCTTGGATTGAAGGTCATCATTTCCCCTTGTGTTTGTGTATCCTCTGCACACTGGCGACAGCTCGGTGAATTGTCACAAACTGAATACACTCACACCACTGGCACCCAGACAAATTAAATATGATGCCTTTGGGTGCCCCTTTCTGCCCCCAGACACTGCCCCTCAAGATGCTGGACTTCTAGCTCTTTGGCGCCTATTTAGCCCTTGATTTGAGGGAATCACGCGGCGGAACTCCTTTTGCAGCTGGGCCTATTCTTCGACATTCTTTTTGTGACCATCTTAGGTGTTGGCACAGGCGGCTCCAGATCGCCTCCTTCTCGGTGCCGCATAGTATTCCCATGTGTGACGATAGTCCTGTCAAGAGGATCCATCCTGCCGGAGGGCTTCAGTTTGGGAGTGTCACCAGTAGTGCAGCTATGACAGTGTGTAAATGTGCCACAGTCCATCCTGCCGTCCGTGGGGGCCTTGGTTTGCTAGCACCACCTACCCAGGGCTCAAACCATGGGACCTCAGGGTTCTAGAGTCTAAAGCCAGATGTCAGCAAGGTTGGCTTCCTCTGAGGCCTCTTCCCTGGGCTTGTAGGTGGTCGTTTCCAACCTGCATCCTCGCAGGTTGGTCTCCTCTGTGTGTTTATCTGTGTTCTAATTTCTTCTTTTTATAAGGACACCAGTCTTTCTGGATCAGGTGGCCCCTATGACCACATTTAACCTTAATCCCCTCTTTAAAGGCTTATCTGAAGCCCTCAGGGTGCAGCATACATATTTGGGGGGAAGCAGCCTTTAACATGGGCATTGAATTCAGGGTTCTTAGGAACAGCACTGCTATGAGCAAGTCTTAGGGAGCAGAATGTCAGTAGAAGCAGCCACGCCACATGTCAGGGTGGGATTCGGGACCACGGGGAGTCCTATGTCAGGGACAGCAGATGCTGCCGGGGCCTCGCTGGTGCCCTGACACCCCCTCGCTTCCTGTGACAGTGGGTGCCGCTCATGGAAGAAGACTGCAGGAAGTGCTCCCAGGACTCCGGAGTCAGCCTCCCTGCGAACTTCTCTATCAGCGAGATCGTTGGCAAAGCGATCACTACAAGAAAGAGCAGCCAGCCCATGCTGCAGGCAGCCCTGGCTCTCAGGAGGAAGGGTAAGGAGCCGGCCCGCCTCTGACCCGGCCGCTCCAGAGCCGTGGGCGTTGGGATCACAGAGCGGCGGGCCTGGGGGGAAGCCATCTCAAGACCTGGCCCCACGTCGGTTCATTAGATGGCAGAGGAACACAATCAAAATAGCTGGGAAGTGAAAGACCTCAATTCTCCTGTGAGAGTAATAACAACTGGAGGTCCAGGAAGGGACTAGTTTGGGTCACTGGCAGTGACCGGCTGCCCCAGCCTCTCGTCACAGTGACTGTACAGCAGGGTCTGTTAAGCCACTGCTCCCCTCAGCAGTGTACTTCTGTCAGTCTGCATGTTCTGCTCCCCACTCTGTCTCTGGTGAATCCTCTCACCCCCCCACACCTCTGGCCTGTACCCCAGCTCTTGTATGCATAAATAAATAAATGTTTAAAAAAAAGAAAGAAAAATTTTAAAAATAAAATAAAACGAACCAAACCAAACTCAACAGAAATCATGGAGACAGAAAACACTGGTGAGGACCCTAGAATGGAGTGGGGGAGGGGAGGGGGGGTGGGGATCAAGAAGCAAAGGCTTCTGGGGACAAAATTGATAACGCGGGAGGTCAGTGCAGAGCATGGGTAAGAGGGCGCTGAGCTCGTAATAGAGTCCTTGGGATGATCGTATCCCGATGCCGACAAGTGTCGCGTCTTTATGTTGCACACCGGAAACTACAGTAATGCTGTATGTCGGTCACGCTGCAATAAAAAGATGGGCTGCGAGTGAAAACACTCGGGTCACACAGCTGACAAATGTCACCACACCTTGCTCTGCAGCAGCAAGGGACGGAGCGGTGTGGGGTCTCCCCTGGGCTGCACTGAACTTGCTCTCATGGGTGTCAGGAGAGACTTGTGGGGGGCTGATGTAAATGAGGACCCCGTCTTTGGGGCCCAGAGCTGCTCCGAGCTCTGTAGCGGCCGGCTCACAGGAGACCTCTCGCTCAGGATTCACGACCTGCGTCCTCACCAACAACTGGCTGGATGACAGCGCCCACAGGGGCAGCGTGGCCCAGCTGATGTGTGAGCTGAGGCCATACTTCGACTTCGTGATCGAGTCCTGTCAGGTCGGAATGGTCAAGCCTGAAGCTCAGCTCTACCAGCTCGTGCTGGACACCTTGAAGGCCAGCCCCAGCGAGGTAGGTGGTGCTCCCTTTCTGGGGTGGACGGTGCTCCAGAGAGACTGCAGGGAAGGAAGTGGGGGAGCCGTGAGCCGGGTGGGACTGGCAGGACCGTTCCAGGCCCAGTGGCTGGTTCCGCTTCTCCTGGGCCAGGACTTCTCCAAAGGGCTTTTGCTCTTCCCTTCCCCTCGAAAGTTCTCTCCGATGCGGGCATGTGGCCCCTCTCTGTGGCTCCTGTATGACCTTGGTCAAAACAGACATTGTTTTGACGCAGACCCTGGACACATTCCCAAGACCACAAAGGTAGTCAGGGTCAGCCGGCAGGAGGGTGAGCAGGAGTGGGCCCCAATTTCGCCAGAGGCCCCCTCCAGACTCCCCCACACTCTGAATTCTGCCTCATATGCCTCATATGAAACAGATTCCCTGTTTCAAAAAGGCAGTTTTCCTGAGTTTGCCTGCTCGCGTCATCCCAGAGACGACTGGGCCAAGTTAAGTTACTTTTCCTCGTGGCCGGCGCCTCCGTGTTGTCCTGACCTCGCCCCCCAACACGGGGGTGACATGGAGCCCTGAACCCCAGTCCTGGAGCCGTCTCCGCTCCCTTCTTGCCTGCCTCTGCTCTGCTCAGCCCTGCGTCCCGTGTCACGTGTGATGCCGGTTCCACATTGACGTGACTGCTTAAAGCTGTGTCTTTCCACTTACGACTTGTCGGGTCTAAGCCTGCCCGTGTCTGGGCCGTCGGTCAGTGCTCCCTGCCGTCCTCTAAGCCCCAAGGTCTTTCTCTTAATCTTTGATCCATTCAGGATCTCCTTGGGGGTAATATGTGAGGTAAGAGGCCAGTTTTGGGCCCCAAACAGTTAACCAATCACACCCACGCCATTAAATAATCTTTTTTGCTGACGACTTGGACACGGGATGTTTATTAGAGGCTAAACTGTCATTTGTTTTGGGGTCTGCTTCTCGACTCCCTTCAATTTCACTGACATCTTCCTTGTCTAGGACCAAGTCTTTTTTTTTTAACCTTTTATGGCTTTAAGCGTTTATTTTCTGCTCCTGCTATAGTCCTTTCCAGATTGGTTGGGGTCTATTCATGCTTGTTGATTTTCCTGGAGGGGTTATACCTTCCCAGCCAGGGCACATCCTTCCTAATCTTCCAGCAGCTCAGAATCCAGGCTGAAACCGCAGTGCGTGTGGGCATGCGTGCACCGTGTGCACTATCGTGTGCGTGCCAATGGGATTAGATGGCTCTTGTGAGGGTGGCAGTGGCGTGGAGAGCGGAGCCAGCCCCCCCACCTTGCCGGGGAGTAGCCGGCTTTGCTTGCCGACGCGTCTCTGCCCCTGGCCCATGTGTTGTGCTTGGCTCGGTGACGCTGGGTCCGTGCCCCTGGGCTCAGGTGGTGTTCCTGGACTGCCTCGGGGAGAATCTGAAGCCGGCCCGCGACCTTGGAATGGTCACCGTCCTCGTGCGCGACACCCAGGCGGCCCTGAGGGAGCTTGAGAAAGTGACCGGGACACAGGTAATGCTCGTGGTGCTGTCACTCACCTGTGCTGAGGGGGGACGGGCCCCCTATGTGGGGCACATCATTGCCTGGTCACTTGGTGGGCAGGAATCCGGTACCAGCTGTGCCGTCCACTCGACTCCCTGGAAGGACCTTTGTGAACGGGGAAGATACTCTGAGAGCAGGAGCCGAGCCTGGGCCTGGCGCCAGAGCCCAGGGAACTGCGAAGGGGGCTCTCTCCCACCTCCCGCCGCTCCTGTGACACTGGGAGTGGAGCCGCTGGGTTTCCCAGGGCAGGCGAGCACGGGCCTCACGGCCTCCCAGCCACGCGGAGGCACATGGTGCTGTCGTTGAGTCCCACCCGTGCCCACCTCGGGGCCTTCAGAGGGCAGAGGCTCTGCCCTCGAGTAAGGAGGGGCGGGCGTCCTCGCGCAGCCCTGGGCCTGCCTGGATAGGCTTGCGGTGCCGAGCACAGGCACCTGTTCCTGCGTCCCTGAGTCCCGGAGGACAGTGGCTGCCTTCACAGCAAAGCCTGCTTCGTGGGCGCGGAGGCACCCCTGCGCTGGCTCGTCTCGCTGGACGTCAGAGGCCGCCTGGCCATGCTGTCGAAGGGCAGGTGTTGGTTTCCCAGTGGCACAGGTGGGGGGCTGAGACGACAGTCTCTGGGGAGCAACAAGTCTAGGTGAAGGTGTCGGCAGGGTTGATTTCCCCCGAGGCCTCTCCTTGGCTTGCAGAGGCCACCTCCCCCCAGTATTCTCATCTGCCACCCCTCAGGGCCTCTGCTGGCCTCTCTCCTTCTCAGGACCCCAGCCCATTCCATTGGGGCTGCCCCAGGGAGCTCCTCTAACCTTAATCAACCCTTTAAAGACCTTCTCCCAAAGGTGGCTGCACTCTGAGGCCTTGGGTTGGGGCCTCCGCAGCTGCGTGCTCACTGCTGGGGACGGTTCAGTTGGTGATGACCAGGCTGCACAGCACGTCTCTGGGCACACCCCGCTGAGAGGCGGGGGAACAGAAAGTGCAGAATGGCGAGGGGATTTCAGGCTGAACGGGCCTGTCCGCATCCCCTGGCCAGAGCTCAGTGCCAGGACAGGAAGACTGCCCGGCAGAGGAGGGGCATGGTGGCCAGTCACCCAGGGCTCGGGAGGTGTGGCCCAGGGCTGGGGGCACTCTTCCCGGCCTTGTGCCTTCCCGCCTCGTGGAGGGGAACCCCGCTGTCTCACCAAGGCTTTCCTACTTCCAGCTTCTCCAGACTGCAGCCCCCCTGCTGGCCCCCTGCAGCCCAGGCGACGTGAGCCATGGGTATGTGCCCATAAAGGTATGTCATCCCCAGCCCCCTGAGTGTGTGTGTGTGTGAGAGAGAGAGAGAGAGAGCGCTTAAGCAGAGTGCACCCCAACCACATCACTAAAGTAGCCTGCAGGGACATTTAATATCAAGGGCGCCCTGCATCCGCAGTTTATAAGGGGATAGTAGTATTACCCACGGGCTTCTCTGGAAGTCCGCGGAAGACATGGCCCGGGTCTCAGGTCGTGTGACTGATCAGATTCCTGGGACCCACAGGCCGCGTGGGGCCTGCAGTGGCCTGGGGGACTAAGTGCCTGGCTCCTGCCCTGTGTTCCTGGGGGAACATTCTTCTCTTCAGCAGGTGTTTATCGAGCTCTCCCTTTGTGTCCCACAGAGAGGCGTGGGAGCACCCAGGGCCAGGCCTTGGGCGAGACCCAGGGGCTGGACAGCTGAGCGGGCCTGCTGGCATGGCCAAGGCTGTGAGCTTCTCCTGGTCTCACGGCGGGACCTGCCTGTCTTTGTCATTGGCCCTGGGACAGTGCAAAGGGCCCTAAAGCTTCCAGTCAGCTCAAAAGCAAAACCAGGTCCCAGCGGTGGCTTGGGGCCAGGTGAGCCCATTTGGGCCCTGGCTCTGGCACTTACCAGATTTGCAAATTCGAGCACATTTCTGGCCACTCTGGATCTTGAGCGCTGAGGGCCCCAGGCTTGGGTCTGAGCCTCCACCGCACACTGGGTCATTCCATTCCTCTCCCGGCCCGGACATCTAACCTCAGTCAGACTCCTCGTCAGACCTGGAGGAGGGTGGTCAGAACTGCCTTAACACCCCCTCCTCCCCAGCCCCCAATCAGGGGCCTGGGCAGTGACTCTGGGCACCCCAGCTGAGCCCCGCTTCCGCAGCTGCTGGGGCATCAATCCCCATTTACAGAATGCCACCCAACTGGGGTGTAACAGATCTTTCTTGTTTTCTGGCTGTTTGGCAATTTTATTAACATGCTGAAAGGACGGGCGAGTATGCGCTGGGGTGTCACCTGAGGAGGCCGGGGCCACAGGGCACTTGCAGTGACCCTCAGCCATTATGGAGCCGGCCCGCCTCCGCCCAGCCCCGCGGTCACTGCCGCCCGCTCTCTCTTCTGCAGCCCGGGGTGCGCCTGCATTTTGTGGAGCTGGGTTCCGGCCCCGCCGTGTGCCTGTGCCACGGCTTTCCTGAGAGCTGGTTCTCCTGGCGGCACCAGGTAAGGGAGGGAGGATTTACCTGTCAAGGTGAGAGGAGGGGTAAGGTGAGTTAGTGTAGCCCCGCCTGCGCATCGTTAAGCTGAGGCCTTAGAGTGGAGCGTTGTCTGCAAAGTGTGACCACAACCCCTCAGCAGCACGGGGGCCGAGATCGTTGCAGAGCTCCGCCGTGCTGGCCTGCGCGCCTCCTTGGCAGACTAGAGAAACGCAGACTCCTTCGGGGCACTCAGCTGGGACAGCACTGCGATGGATATGGAGATCTGCTAGGCCTCTCCTGGGAGAGGTGCTCTGTCAGAGGGGCCTCTGGATGCAGTGTGCAACCCCCGCCACTGTCCATGGCCGTCCCACCCAGGCCAGGCTCGCCCCAGCCCCAGGGTGAGGGCACCAGGTTGTGCCATGTGGTGCTTTGAATGAGGTACAAGCAGAGGGGGCGTGTGAGCAGAGTCTGATGAGACCACACTGGGGTGCCTGCGTGCTGTGTTTCCTAGATCCCTGCTCTGGCCCAGGCGGGCTTCCGGGTGCTTGCTGTGGACATGAAGGGCTACGGAGAGTCGTCCGCTCCTCCAGGTGGGTTGGCTGTCTACACCGTCCTGTGTCAGGCCTGCCTCGTGCCCGGGCTCTCCTGGCCCATTGTCTCCCCCAATCCCAAGTCAGAGCAGGCTGCCCTTCGGGGGGCTCGCGTCCCCTCACCCTGTTCTGTCTCTGTTTGAGTCCCCCCTTCAGTTCTTCGGGGTGTATACCCCCAGCAGAGGCATTGCTGGACCCCATGGCAACTCGTAGGCCAGATTCTTCACCCAACATCTGTGGGTGCCAGTGGGCGTCTATCCCAGAATGGGACTTGGGGTCTTGAGCACCTGTGAAACGATGTGTGGGTTTACAATCGTTTTCCTAGGGGGTGGGGGGGTCCTCTGGCTTTATCCGTTCAGAGGCGTCCTCAGCCCAGACCACCAGACACTGACGGGCGCTGGGCGTGGAGGCGGGAAGGTGAGCCTCCCCTCCTGGTCGGGCTTCTGCCACCAGCTGCCCCTCAGCAGGGCTGTCGCAGTGGGGGGCCTCTGGGCACGGAGTATGCGGAAACCTGGGCCTCCGCCTACGAGAGAATGAGCTCACTGACTTTCTTAGGTGCAGGGGACCTCTTAGTTTTTGTGGGTGTATTTTTAATCATGTGAATTAAATGTCCCTTTATCTGTAATTGCAGAACTAGAAGAATACGCCATGGAGGTGCTGTGCAAGGTGAGAGGGTCTGTGCCAACACCGGCAGCATCTTGCCTACCCTGGTGCCGTCGTGGCTGTGAGTCAGGCGTGGGAAGGGGTCTGCGCAGGCGTCTGGGTGTCCGTTCTCAGCGCTGAGATGACACTTGGAGCACGCGCACCAGCTTGACCGCCTGTCCTAAGCACCTGACAGGGGGGAGACAAATTGCAGGAGGTGAAGTGACGGTGGCTAACAGCTCGTGGGGCAGGTTTGGATCCTGTGTCGGCAGCCACACCCCTCCCAGCTACCCCGCTGTCCCCTCTCCATCCTGAGGATCTTAAAAATGTATTTTGGTGAAGCCGTTGCTGACCTAGGCCTAGGGCGCGCGTGTGCCACAGACCTGAGGTGCACTTCCGAGACCGCGTAAGCACCATCAGGGGGGCGAGACCCTCGTCTCAGCTTTTGTGGGGTGGGGCCGCCAAGCTCTAGGAGGGGGGACTGATCTCACCGGCGTCCAGCCCGCGGGCAGAAGCCAAGGCTGAAGGGGCCGAGGGAAAGAAACAGCCTCCTGGCTGCTGGGAAAACCCACCGCGCCGTCATGGCGTGAACATGACAAGTCTCGCCGTCACAAGCTCGCCCCCGTGCCGCCTCGAGCTGCCTAGAGTCCCCCTCAACCCCGCCGCAGCTGCCGTCCTCGGGGAGCAGCAGGGCGCCTACTTGCCACTTGGCCTCTTGCCTGTCCCCTTCTGGCCTCTCTTGTATGCAGCCCACATGGCGGGCAGGAAGCGGCGAGAGCAAGGTGCCCGCCCTGGGCAGCGAGGCGGGGCTCCTGAAGGCAGCGCTGGGGCCTCTGTGGCAACAGGCAGAGGCCCCTGGCATGGCCTGTGGACAAGGGCCAGAGTCCTGGAGGAGGAGCAGGCTGGGAAGCCCGAAGGCAGTCTGCTCTGGGCTCTGGTCGGCCCGCAGCACGTGCCTCTCTGCACCCCAACACCGCCACCCCCCGGGCAGCTCCTCCTGTGCATGACCTAGCATGGCCACCTCTGTCCTGATTCCAGACGACCTTCGCCTGCGACCCCTGCTTCAGTCATGGGGGGGCACAGCCGCGGGCCAGTGTCCACTCTGGGTCGGGGGACAGGCTCGCAGCCAGGCCTGTCCAGAGCACATTTTCCCTTCTTCCTCCAAGGAAGAAGCACCACTCGCCTTGCCATGGAAACATCCCTGCTAGCGGGACAGACCGACGTCCCCTCAGTAGCTCCCTAAACCTGTTGGGGGGGCTGGTTACCAGACGGTGCCGTGGCCCAGGCTGCCAGAGCAAAGCCCCATAGCCTGAGTGGCCCCAACCATAGAGGTGCATTCCTGCCCCCGGAGCCTGGAAGACCGGGGTCAAGGTTCCAGCGTGGTTGCCTCTGCGGCTTGGAGGGGACAGTCCCCCCGGGTCCCCGAGGTCTCCCCAGGCGCCCGTCGGTGTCCACCTGCTGTTCTTCCCAAGGCACCTGTCCTGTTGGGCCAGGCCACACTCGTGCCCTCACTCGACCTTAGTCACCTCTTTCCTGACCCCCCCCCCAAATCCAGACACGTGGAGAGGGGCTGGGGAGGGGCTTCCACGTGAGAGGACACGACCCTGCCCCTAACCAGGGCCACCGCCGACATTCTGGCCCCAAAGTCCCCAAGGGGAGTGACCGGGCTTCTGACACTGCGTGTTCTCTCTTAGGAGATGGTCACCTTCCTGGACAGGCTGGTAAGTGACTGTTTCGAACTGACCTCCTTGGGGGCTGTGGTGAGAGCTGAGCGTGCGCCCGTGACAGCGTGGCTCGCCGAGGGCCCCCCGGGGTGCCGCGCATGCTCCCGGTGCCGTGGCTTGGGCAGGGCCTGCGGCTGAGCCAGGAGTTGCCCAGGGCGAGGGGCAGGGAGGACAGACGGGAGCAGGAGGGGTCTGGAGCGTGCGTCAGAGCCCCGGGAAGGACGTTCTGAGGGCGGCACCTGCTGTGAGGACAGGAGCGTGAGCGTGAGGAAACGGCTGTTCGCGGTGATGAGTTGCCCTGAAGAGGGACGTGTCGCTGGGCCTGAGGCAGGGATGGAAGCCAGGTTGCAGGACTTGGAGAGGCCGTCAGGTTGGCATTGGTGACTGGCGTCGGCCTGTGGGAAGTCACACGGAAGGAGCCAGAAAGCCCGGGCGAGGGGCCCCTTCTAAGATGGCGGCCGGGGGGCCTGAGAGGCCTCAGCGTCACTGCAGGGGCTGGCGGCGCAGCGTGGGGTAGAGGAGAGAGCCCGATTTCAGGGGGGCCCTGGTCTGAGCTGTGGCTCTGCTGTTACCACCCGTGCCACCCGGGCAGGTCACGGCCAGGCCTCCCTTCCCGCCGGGTGGGTTTACTGGGGCGCCTGGGGGTGTGGACGCGTGGCGGGCGCCCCGGGTATAGTCAGGGCTCAGGAAGGAAGGGAGCTGGGAGGGGAGCGCAGACCCGGGTCAGTCAGGCTTCCTTTAAGCGAAAGAAAAGAAAGTGAAGCAAATTTTGACCATAGGGAGAGGGAGTTCATGGCTTCTGTCTCTCACAGAGATTTAAAGTGTCAGCCTCCGTGCAGAGGGGAGCGGGGCCGTGGTGGGGGTGGGGGGTGCCGAGGGGCTGGGCGGCCCAGGGAGCGGCCCCACAGGCTCCCTCTGCATCCCCCAGGGCCTCTCTCAGGCGGTGTTCATCGGCCACGACTGGGGCGGCATGCTGGTGTGGAACATGGCCCTCTTCTACCCCGAGAGAGTGAGGTGAGTTCATCTGAGCGTCAAGAGCTGGGGCAAGGCTGGGATTCAGCTCCCCCTAGAATCGTTCCTTGGGTCTTAAACCCCAGAAAACTTCTTTGAAACAAGTATCTTGTCTGGGACAGTGACACTTAGCTCACCTTAGCTCGAGGGCTGTCGACACATGTACAAGAAGAGCCTCCCCAGCTAAGTTGGCGAGCAGGACTGACCCCTGTGGGGGATGGGAACCAGCCCAGCAGGGGTTCCATGGCCAACTTTGAGGGATGTTGGGAAGGCAGCAGGGGTGTGGGATTCCTAGGATGAAGCCCCAGGGACACTGGACAGGGAGTCAGAAAATGGGGGCTTCCGTTTTGTCCTGAACTGGCTATGTGGCAAATTGCTTCCCTTGAGGCCTTGGGTTACTCAACCAAAGGGGTGCTGCCAACCCCAACACAGCTGGGCCACCTTCAGGGTGAGAGGATGCACCCCAGCCCAGCTCACAGGCTGCAGGATGAGGGGACAGGCCTTTCCAGGGTGCCAGCTGGAGCTCCAAGGGTGGGATCTGAGCCCAGAGAGTGGTCTTCAGGGCCACAGCCCCTTTGGCTGGCAAGCTGCAGTTGGAGCCCACCTACCTCCCCTTTTAGCCTGGGGCCTTAGCACATTGAAGACCGTCATCCTCAGCGGCCTCCTGTGTGCCCCGGATAACCTGGGTACTTTTTGCCTGTCTGCGTCTGCAAGAATGGAACTTATGGAACTCTCTGTTCAGTTCAACCCAATTGAACGACAAGATGCTGCCACCCCCGTCCCCCTTAGGGCGGTGGGTGTGAGGTCTGCTGGCCCACCCTCCGCTTCTGGCTTCCTTCCTTAGGGCAGTGGCCAGTCTGAACACTCCCTTCATACCAGCAAACCCCCAGGTGCCCACGATGGAGGCCATCAAGGCCAACCCCGTGTTTGATTACCAGCTCTACTTCCAGGAGCCTGTAAGTGGGGCCCGAGCCGCGATCCTGTCACCGTCCCCACTGGCTTGATGACCTCTGTGCCCTTGAGGTTCCGAGGCGTTGGTCAGGAGTGATGCACCCTTTCCAGGTGGTGGCACCTCCTGTGTGTGGGTTTGGGGTGTCATGGGGGTGGGGGTGGCAGAGGACGCACAGGTTCTCCTGCTTCTGCAAACTGGGGGGTGTCAGGGAGACTGAGCGCTAGTTTGGAGCTGCCCCTCTGTGATCACAGGGGGCACTTATGCCAGGCCCCAGGTGTGCCTGGAGAGATGTGGGGGTCTTCGGGTATCACTCCATGTGTCACAAAGCCCCAGATACCTTTTGGAGGTGCCACAGAGTTTGGCGATGGGGTGATGGGTGTCCCCCATTTCACGGAGGGCAGCAGCATGAGGGCACCGGCCTGGGGGACCCTTCTCCCCGCACCTGCCTCATCTGTGTGGGGTTCTTGCTACCCCTCCATTTGTAGATCTGGACCCCAGTGTCCAGTTAGGCCTGGGTAATTCTGTCACTGGAGTCCGGGTCCGGGTACGACTGCTCCTAAGAGGACACTCGAGAGACGGGAGTTGGTGGAGGAAATCGGCTTTCATCAGGAGCCAGCCTCCTGAGGACCTGGCGGGCCGCTGTCTCAGAGGCCATCTCCCTGAACTGGGGGGGAGCAGGGGCTTCCATGGGGCAGCCCTAAGGAGCTCGAGGAGGCGAAGGTGTCTGCGTCGTCAGGATTTCAGAGAAACCGGCAGGACGGCTCCGCATGTTCCTGCCGCGGTCCTGAGGCCGTGGCCTGGCCCTCGTCTCCTTCCACCTCTGTCCTGGTTCCAGCTAGTCTGGTCCGGATTCTGTAGTTTTGTCTGCAAGAAAAGATAAACAGCAGCAGAGCAAGAACAAACAGAACAAGGGCAGGGATCTTGGGGTGACCAGGAGGGTGACAGTTTCCGAGAGGAAGAGGATGCGTCCCAGCATTGGGGAGAGGATGGGCTGGATTAATAAAGAGCAGGGGGGCGTCTCCCACCCCTCTCTCCCAGCCCCGGCCCTTCTGGTCCTGGGAGGGTCCATTTCCAAGCGGGGTCATGATCACCCCACTTTCCATCCAGCAATGTACTCTTCTCTGACAGCAATCCCATTGGTCAGCTATTTCAGGCCATCGCGTCGGCAGCCGCCTCCAGGCGCAGGGTGGAGAGATGCTCATCTGGCCTCCCTCCCTGTCCCCCCAATCCCCTTCCCCGGCCCTGGTGCCCAGGCCCTGCTCTGCCCCATGCAGGAACCTTCCCGCTTCCGCCCACTTGCATTGAGTCAAATCATCTGCCTTAGTTTGAAGTAGTCTTGGTCTTCAGGGCGAGAGCTGGGGGCCGGTCGTCTGAGATCGGGGCGTCCCAACAACCTGGAGATGTTAGCATAAAAGACTGTAATGGGGTGCAGCTGCCTCTGGGAACCACAAGAAAATGTAGATAAATGTTTACAAAAGGAGAAGGCATGTGAACTGGACCCAGGCTTTGGTGGGCGGGCAGGAGAGGGAAAGGCTTTTTAGCCAAGGGGACAAATCGCTGAAGAAGCAAGGAAAACCCACAGGGATATCTGACAAAACAGCCATCCTCCAGAGGAGTTCCAGAAGGTCTGGAATGTCTTGCAAGTGCCCACAGCGTTCAATGTGTGCATGCACTTTTCCAGAAAAAAGAGTCCCTGACCTTCATCAGAACCACAAAAAACCGTCACAATGCCCTGAGGCTTCGCCCCCATCAAGGCGGGTGTCAGAGCTTCCTTTTTAGGGCTGAGTAATCGGTATTCCACCACCTGCATACGCGGCCCCCAGTCTAGGGCACCGGGGTTGCAACAACAGCTTTCAAGTGCTTCCTGGGCCGGGTATTGATCCTGCTTGGTTTGACTTCAAAGCCCGAGTGTGTCATCTCCGCCAGATGCAAGGAACTTTGCCCTTTAGTCTGTGTGCCCCGCTCCAGCCAGCAGAGAGGGCGGGGTGAGCAGGATCAGCTCAAAGTCCTGATAAGAAAAGTGACCTGGGGCCAGAGGATTGCTAATTCCCGCCCTGGTGAAGGCAGGGTCGGGGGCTTCAAAGCTTCTTGGTCCCAGTGGAGAAATCAGTTGTTCTGACATAGCAGCTGAGCCTCAAATCTGCAGGAAGAGCTGAAGGGGTGGATTTGTTCTTAAGAACAAAGATTCTTGGCAGGAACAAGTAGAATTCAGATCTGCTGTCTGGTCAGGCCCAGGAACTGGTTGGGGTGAATGTAGCAGCTGGGGCTGGTCGGGATCGGCACAGGGGTCCCTGCTTGGGGGTCCCACCAGCCTGTCTGCTCCCTACTCAGCTGCAGGAGGTGGGGCCCAGGGGGAGGAGGACCCAGAGTCCCCCAGCACCCACCCTGAGCCTGAGAGTTGCTCTTCATCTTATGGTTTATTTTCTTGCCCGCATTCAGCTGAGTCTGAAGCTGTTACCTGCTTGGGAACCATCCAGCTAGATCTTTCTTTTTCGGATGAGGAAACTGAGGGCCAGAGATAGGAGGTGACTTGGCCCCATTGCTTCCTAACTGAGTGGGGAGCAGCAGCCTGGTCAGGGCCAGGCACCGGAGCACATCCGGGGCAGGAACCCCAACCTGTGGTCAGCACCAGTCATTCTGCTGGGGATCGGGCCTGCTGGCCCACCCACGTCTGCAGCTCAGCCCTCTCTCTTTCTCCCCTCCGGCCAGCCTTTGTGGGGACCTGCTATCCCCAGCTTCGGCCCTGTCTGTGTGTCCCCCACCACGGCCAGGGGGACAAGAGTGTGTGTCCATGGAAACTCACAGGGCCCAGCTCCCAGAGGGCAGGCTCCAGTGCGCTGTGGTCCCTTCCCTGGTGGACGCAGTGCTGGCCGCCGCGGTGCAGGGTGGCCGCTGGTGTGCGGCCTCATGAGAAACAGCCCTCGCCTCGGGACATCCTTGCAGGCTCCCATTTCACAGGCGAGGGAACCCGGGTGCTGGGAGATACGGTCATCCAGTTAATAAGGGTCCCTCACAGGGCTTGAACCCCAGTCTGTTGGTTCAAAGTCCGCCGTTGACGGTGCTGGGACCACAAGAGAGGGCTGGGCATTCCATCCAGCTTGGGCTGATGCATGGGCCCGAGTATTGGGTAGCGCCTTTCAGAAGTTACAGCCTGGCCTTCCGGGCAGGGCGCCCAGCCAGAGTGAGCTCTTCCTCCCTCCGCCCCTTCACGCCTCCCCTTTGACCTCAGGCTCCGCTTGATCTGCTGTGCTTTGAGGTGGTGGAGACGAGACCCCCTGAGCTCTCTGATTTTCCATCGGCCCTTTGGCGTCCATCTGCTCTGCTAAGGACCATTTGAGGGCCGAGGCCTGGGCCGGACCTCGAGGCCTTTGGAGATTCCTCCCCTCACCGAGACATCCCGAGCTCACCCAGCAGCGGCTGTTTCTGGGGTGGCGGCTGCTCCTGATAAATAAGAATCAGCTGCCAGGCGCCCCATGGGGCTGCCCAGGGCCTGCATCCATCAAAGTCCCTCTGGCCTCGGTATTCGGGCACCTCGCAGAAGTTTGATCCCCCTTGTTGCCGAAGCTCCAGGTGAGAATGGCTGCAGTGCACACGCCGACATTTCCGTCAGAAAATCCCCCAGTGCTGCCCCTGGAGCTTGCTGGCCAGGCGTCACGTTTGGGTCCCGGGGCAGGGCACAGAGGGGGCAGGACTGTGAAGTGCAGGACCATGAAGTGCGGGACTCCGTGGGGGGAGGGGACTGAGGGGCCATCGCTGCAGGCTGTGCTGACCTGGCGCCTGCAGTCATGTAGGCCCAGATCCAAGGAGCTGCTTGAGAAGTGACTGCAGCAAAATGAGATGTGAGGTGCTTCCTCGTGGCCCTCAATGCTCAGGCCCCGCTGGTCCCCCAGCCTATTCCCGCACCAGCGCTGCCCCGTCCCTCCACGGGGTGCTCACAGGCGGGACATTCTCACCAGGGAATTTCAAAACCCGGAAGGTAGCAGCATCTGCACACCCGCCTTCTGGGGAGACTCTGTCTTGTATTTTATTTGCACTTTTTCCCTCCCACGTTCCAGTCTGGAAATCCTAGCGTGGCTTCCAGTGAAACTTGTCTGGGTGGGCAGCGTGGGGGCTGCCACTCCCAGTCAGATGGGGAAGGGGCTGTCTCCGAGAGTCCTCTGGAGTCCCTCATCTGGCCCGGATTGTTTTAGGGGGTGGCGGAGGCAGAACTGGAGCAGAACCTGAGTCGGACTTTCAAGAGCTTCTTCAGAGCAAGTGATGAGGTGAGTGGCTGGGGGGGGCGGGGGCTGGTTGTGCAGGCAGGGGGGTGGGGGGGTGACACAGCCGGGGGAGGGCTCTGGATGGAATGGCGCGATGGGGGGTTGGGGGGTGCTGGGCGGGGGCAGGGGCTGGGTGCAGCTTACCTTCCCTCTGACACCCACAGTCGGGGCTTGGGCCCTGGTTAGCAGGACACTCACACCCTCGCTGCAAGGCAGGGACTGATCGTGTTCGCTGCTCTGCTGGGTCACTTACGTTCTCTGCAAGTTTGGTTTTTTTGCATTCCTGGAGAATCTTGCTTAGCTGCAGGCTCTGTTTGCTGTCTCTTGCCGAGTCCGTGCACGCGTGCACAAGGCACAAGGTTTGCCTGTTTGTCCAGTCTGATGGCGTCCCACGTCCTCTCGTGCCGGGGTGTCGAGCACTGTCGCAGGAGGCTTCCTTCCCTTCACCCACGTCATTTCTAACTTTCCTCCCTCCAGGGTTTTCTCACTGTGCACAAAGTCCGAGAAATGGGTAAGAGCCCTTCCCAGGAGGGGAGGGAGGCAGGAGACCCTCCCGAGGGCTGTGGCAGAAGCTGCCACCTGCCAGCCCTGAACTGGGCTTGCTCATCATAGGCCCCCACCTAACTGGGGTCTGGGGTCCCTTTCCTGTGGGGGCTTTGGAGTCAAGATTTTAAACAACAAGAGCTGGGAGGAGACTTGGAGCTCTTGGGCAGTCCCAGCCTCTGCCCATAGGAGCTGGGACTTGGACAGGAGCCGACTTCCTCCAGTCAGCTGGGCATGCGAGGTGGGGGTTGGGCGACACCCCAGACCCGTCTGCTCTGTCATTGTCCACTGGCCTTTCCTCCGTCCCAGGACCATGTCCCGATCACTTCATTTCCCTCCTGTGGAGACTGGTGGGAGGCAGGGGCAGAGCCATACGCAGGAAATGAAATGTGGAGCCCGGAGTCCCGTCTCTAGGGAAGACAGCAGTAAAGGGGGAGGTGCGCAGGTGGGGTCCCTGCTGCGGGGCAGCAACCAGCCAGGAGTCCTGCCCAGCGGTGACACCTGATCACGGTCCCTTTGATACATTTCGGGGACGTCTGGCCCCAGCTCCTGCACTGCCAAGGCTTCGAGAGCCTGACAGTGGTGAGCCAGCCCTGTTCCACTGCCGGCACTCGTAGCCCTGGCGACTGTCCCTGTGAGACGGCAGCAGTCCCAGGACTGCCACTTGGCATCACAAGGTCACGCTGCAAAGGGCCTGGGGACTGCAGGACACAGCGTACATCCCTGAGAAGATGGGGTCCACACCAGGGACACGCAAACACCTCCTCCCTGGCCTGGATTTTCTTCCAGGCCAAGAGGGAAATCAGAGCACGTGCTTGAGAAAATGCCCAGACCCGCGGGGCCACTATCTGCAAAGGCCGGGCGTTCAGCTAGCTCGAGTTGGAGTCTGAGGGAGAGGGTCTCTGGGGGGCCGGCAGAGCCTGGAAAGTAGAGCCTGAGGGGCGAATAGGGGCTGAGGGTCTGTCCTCGAGCATGTCTTGGATGTGAGGCCTGTGTGTCCACGCCTCTGGGTTCTAGAATGACGGTGAGAGCAGACCTGGAGCTCGAGAGGGGACTTGCGGGAGCGCGAGGCCTCTGCTGTCCAGGCAGATGCGCTAGCAGGAGGCCGTGAGGGACTGGGCCTGGGCCGGGACGGCGGCCACAGAGCTCGGTGGTCTGGCTCGGCCTGGAGAGCGACAAGTGGCCTTTTGCAGGAGGCCTGTTCGTGAACACCCCGGAGGCGCCCAGCCTCAGCAGGATCACCACGGAGGAAGACATCCAGTTCTATGTGCAGCAGTTCCGGAGGTCTGGTTTCAGGTAGAGAGAATGGGCCCCGGGGCCTCTACCTAACGGGAGGGGCTCCCACACCTCTGGTGGAGGGGGAACCTTTGCACCACGCCCTGTATCCTTCTCCCAGGGTCCCCAGGGTAGGGGAGTGTCCTCTGAACAGTGAGGGCATGAGCCAAGCTCCCCACCCTCCCAGGCTGGGCCCCATGGGGCCGGCCCCCTGTGTTCCTGAGGCCCACTCAGGCTGTCACCCTCCCCCACCGAGCCCCACACCTCTGCTCTAGACCCTGCTCACTAGATCCTGGCAAATGTGAGCCCCCCAACCCCCACCGGCACCCTCAGCTCCCTTGTGCCCCTGCAGATGCCCTCCTGCCCCCGGGGAGGCTGCCTGCGTGCAGAGCTGGCTCTGGGGCTTCATCGTCTACTCAAAACTTTACTGCTTTACCCCCACCCCGCAATCTGCCCCCCACAGAGGCCCCCTAAACTGGTATCGGAACATAGACAAGAACTGGCAGTGGGGCTGCAAAGCCGTGGGCCGGAAGGTGAGTGCCCCCCCAGTGTGAGGGGACCCAGGGCTCAGGCACTTGCCCCCCATGGGACATTGAGCGCTCTCGGAGGTGGAGGTGACTCAGTGACCCCCCCTCCCCTCCAGCCCTCTGGAGCCCTGAGGGTGGGGGTGGGGCTGAACCTCCTGAGCTTCTAGTCTTGCCTTGATCTTTCTGGCCTCCCTGCCAGAAGCCTCCCCCAATCTCCTAGAACTAGAGATTTCCCAGGGTGTTCTTACTACGTAGAATTGAGGGTTTCAGGGGCTCCATGCCAGGGACAGTCTGTTTCCTGCCACCTCACAGCATCACTGCAGGCCTCTGGCGGGGATGCTGCTCCCTGCAGACACACACGGTGGGGACACCCAGCCTGCAGTGGCGCTGAGGGGGAGCTACAGGGGAGGGAGCCCCTCGCAGGACCAGGAGCGCTCCCCCCACCATTGGCAGGGGTGGCCCTGGTGGCACAGGCTCAGGAGGAGGGGTGCCCCCCTCCCCGCCACTCCTGAGCCCTCTCCCCAGATCCTGATCCCGGCCCTGATGGTCACCGCAGAGAAGGACCCGGTGCTCGTGCCTGAGATGTCCAAGCACATGGAGGACTGGGTAAGCGGGTGGTCCTGCGCCAGGGCGGCGGAGCCTCTGGGACGGGGCTCAGGTGTCCCCAAAGAAAGACGGCCTCGAGGACACAGGGTGGGAGATTCAGCTGCAGCACTTGTGAGCTTGCAAGGGGCTTCCTCGTAGCATGCCCCTCCGGGGACCAGACGCAGGCCCCTTCCCGGCAACTGCGTGGCTCTCGCTCACTCCCTCCCTCCCTCGCCCACCAATTCGCTCTGCTGTCCCTGCTCTTGAGTGACCTGGGCAGCTGGATGGGAGTTGGGGGGTGAACAGGACACAGCCCTGGGGCCAGGGCTCACCAGCCCTTAACCCACATGCAGGGCAGCAGCGTGGGGTGGGCATGGCCGGGAGCAGGGTGCGTGTGGGACGTGCCCGGGGTGGCAGGTGCTCGTGAGTTTGGGGGTTTGACCAAGTCTGCTGGGCCGGGCTGAGCTGTGCTCACCGTGGGCAGCAGGGCCGTAGCGGGCAGTGACAGGTATGGGCCAGGTGAGCTGCTCCCTCTGCTAAAAGCACGGAGTGGGGCAGCAGGGGGGAGGCCTGCGGGTGGGGTGGCAGGGCTGGGCCCTGTGTCCCACTGTGGTGGTCTCGGAGCCCGGCTGGGCTGTGTCAGCAGGACTCAGTGCAGAATGCATCTAGCGGGGTGCTGCCAGGGGGCCCCGGGGGCTCTGGAGCCACCTAAGAAAGGGGAGCCTTTGGTCTTCACCCTGATGCTTGCTGTAGGAATTCCGGTTCCTTAACTGGCCTTGGAACTGACCACTGGCCTCATGGACGTGCATTATGCTCGGGAGGGGCCACTCCCAGCTCCAGGAGGAAGCTGTATTTTTTCTAGCATCATCCACCTAGGCCTGTGCCCTGAGGGTCCCCCATGTCCCAAGCTGTGGCACCAATACCCACTCGGCCCCTGGTCCTTGTTGCTCTGACTCTCACTGACCTCCAGGTTCCAGAAGGGGGGCCTGCATGCAGCACCAAGGGACGAGGGAGGCAGCCTGGGAAGGGGACGTGTTCACTGCTGCTTGGTGGCAGCCAGACAAGCAGAACTTTTCAGGGCTGGGAACGCCAGGCCCTGCTGGTTCTGGAGGGAGCAGCGAGCAAGGTGCCCCCCTCTCAGGGCCTGCCTGTGGCGCGAACCCGAAACCAGACTCTTGGGTCTCCTGCCATTTACTCACTTGGGTGAGGTTCTCTTCCAGATCCCCCACCTGAAAAGGGGACACATTAAGGATTGTGGCCACTGGACACAGATGGACAGGTAAGCAGGTGGAGAGCTTCTGGGTGGGGGGGGCATTGGAGCACCTCAATAAAGGCTTTCCTGCCTCAGGGTGGCAGGTCTGCTCAGATGTGAACTGCCTTTGTTTTCTCCCAGGCCCACCGAGTTAAATCAGATCCTCATTGAGTGGCTGGAGGCTGAAGCCAGGGACCCACCGGTGGCCTCGAAGCTTTAGAGCAGGGCTGTTCCAAGCCTGGCAGGCGCCCCAACATCTTCATCTGCTGGCATGCTGCCCCAGAGGGGGCCTCTCCCACCTCTGTTGTAACCGGCACCATTATGCTGACGGGGTTTGCAAAGAAAGTGATATTCTTTCAATGGAGTAACCTGAACTGACACAATGTTAGATCCGTACCTTCCAGACTGAGAAAAATCATGTGTGATTAATTTCTGGGTGTAAATGCCTTATTCAGAGGGTGGGTGGTTTGGAGGCAGTGGGCAGAATGGCGCAGCCAGGGCATGACTTCTCTATGACTAATTCTGTAGCAAATTCAGCATTTATTGTTCGAGCATTTCCGCAGAGGCCAGAACGCCCGAGTTCAATAAAGCTAAACAGCTGTGATCTGCGCTCTTGGAGGAATGCGGTGTTTTTTAGGATGATGCCCCCATGGGCCATCTGTGTTGTCGCCAATGGCAAGAGTCCATCTTTTGTGTGGCTGAGTAGTATTCCATCACGTCTGTCCGCTTCTTCTCATCTTCTTTATCCAGTCATTCCTCAGTGGGCACTTAGGTTGCTGCATGTCTTGGCGAGAGTGAATAATGCTGCGGTGGACATGGGTGTGCGTATGTCTGTTTGAATGAGTGGTTTCCTGTACTTTGGGACCGATACCCACAGGTGGAATAGCTGGATCATTGGTAGATCTAGCTTTAATTTTTTGAGGAGCCTCATTTTACATTCCCACCCAGAGTACACAAGGGATCCCTTTCTCCTCATCTCACCAACTGTCTCTGGTCCTTCCGGTGAAGGCCCTTCTAACCGATGCCAGGTGGTATCTCCCTGTGGTTCTGATGTCCACTTCCTCCAGAGTCGGTGACCTTGTGCATCTTTCCACGGGCATGTCGGCCATCTTGCTGAAATGTCTCCTCAGATCGCCCCATTTTTTAACCATATTGCTTTTTGCGACTCGGTTGCTGGAGTCCTTCGTGTGTTCTGGATGGCAACCCTGTGGGGCGCGTGGCCTGAGGCGTCTTGGTCCTGCATCGGTGGCCTTTTGGTTTGGATGGTGGTTTCGTTTCTTTCATTATCTTTGCCTGTTCTTAAGCAGGTCATTTGCCTTCTGGCTGTTGTGGCAAGAATTCTTTATCTACTCCCTTATAATATTCAGGATTTGCAAATATCCCCCCCCCCATTTCATGGGTGGGAAGCTCACTTTTTAATCAGTAAAAAAAATAGCTTCCATTGTTAGGAGGCCTGCTCTCTGCTTCTCATGCACTTCAACCCTGTTTGCTGTCACGTTCGGCCCAAGACAGGAGCCAGGCACAGATCAGCATGGGGCGGCGTGTGATTGGGGTGCCGTCAGAGCGGACGACAGGCAGTGCTTTGTGTCTGTGCCTCAAAATGAGACGACTCCAGAGAAAGCCACTGCGGTGGCATCTGTCACTGATTGAGTAGATGGAGAGATGGCTCCGGGCCCCTGTCTCCCTCAGTGACCTGGATTCCCTTGGAGAAAGAACACGAGAGGCAGCAGAATCCCAAGCCCCCCGCTCGCTGGCAGCAGAATCCCAAGCCCCCCGCCTGCTGCGTGAACTCTGTGCCCCGCACCACCTTTCTGAGAGAAAGAGCGGGCTGACAGGGACGAGAAAATAATACCTGCAGATCAGAATTCCTTAAACACCAAATGCCTCAGTAAGCACACGGGTGTGACAGATGTCAGGGTGCAGATGACAGAGATGGAGCCCGGTCTCCCCGATGAGCGAGCTGGGGTGGGGGGCGCCGTCTCACAACCAGCTCGGCAGCCTGTGCTGGTGTTAATCTCCCGGCCGGCAGCTGTCTGGACAGGTTGCGCTCAGCAATTACTGAGCAGGCTGAGTCTTCCAGAGAGAAGAAAAGAGCAATAAACCATCGCCTCGGCCACGGGTGGGGGCAGCGCAGATGGCATTAGCTGATACCCACCGTTTTTTGCTGATTTTGACGTTTCTTTTCATGTACTTATATTTCTTTTCAATAAAGGCAATTTCTGCAATTGATGTGGCTGCTTGGCGGTGCGGGGAGGAAGCCATCGCGCAGAGGCAGTCGTGGGGGAGAAGGAAGAAAACCTGGTCCGGGACTCGGGTCTCTGGGAAAACTCCCCCGAGGGGCGCCCCTGACCCGCGGCCGAGCTCACCACACCCCCACCACCCCCACCGTGGTGTTTGGGGGCAGGAGCAGGGCATGTTTTACCTCAAGTTGTGGGGACAAGGCTTGAGGTGAGTGGGGATAGAGTCATTTATTTGGGGCAACACCAAGTGGGGCCTCCACCCTTCTCCCCACCTTGCAGTGGGCTGCTCTGCACACTGTGGGCCACAGCTGCGGGGCCCCTTCCCCTGCTTCGGGGCACTGAGTGTGGAGAAGGGTCCCGTGGCCAGCCTGGTAGGTGCCTCCTCCACCAGCAGCCCCCAGCCCGCCCTTCCTAGGCAGGGAACTGGAGGCTCTGTGGGGATAGCGCCCCAGTTCTCTCCCCTCCATCAAAGGAGCGAACAACCTAGAGGGCCACGCCCTGCCTCCTCCATCTGGGGCCCCTCAGGGAAACAAAGAGGAAGGCAACCTGGCGCGCTTCTCCCTCAGCAAGGCCCTGTGGAGACCCTGCCCAGGGGCCTGCAGATATAGACATGCTTTGCTTGGCTGTTGGTATATGCTCGAGGGGTACCCGGAGACCTCAGACTGTCAGGGGTGCACACGCTAATGGGGTCCAGCCATGTACACGCACAAAGGCAAGGGAAGCAGGCTCCTGGGGTGAAAGATTTTGATAGAATTGCTGCGGGGATTGAAAGGGGAGGGGGAGGAAGGGATTTCAAATAAAATAAGCCACCCGCTAACTCGCAAAGACAGGCCAGACAGGCTCAGCCCGGGGCCGGGCAGCTGAGGCCGGAAAGCTTCGCCGCGGTCTCAGGTGCTTTCTGGTGGGGGAGCACCAGAAAGGGGTTAGGTGGGGCCCCAGCGCTGGGACAGGAGAGTCAATGTACCCCACTCTATACCACGGAATCCAGCATGAAGTCAAGTACCGGCCGCCACTGCCCGCCAGCACCAGGAGCAGCCCGGCCCCCAGGCGTCTCTGCCAAGTGTCTCTGCCTGTCTCTCCTCCCCGTCTTCACGCCACCTGCTCCTCCCAGCTGCCCCCATTCAGGACGTCTGCTTCATGGCCTGCGGGGACTTGGGGTCCAGGGGCTGTGTGCAAGCAGGGGCATTGGCTCCCCCTTTCACACCAACTCGTGTCTGCAACCCAGTGGGGGACGCGCTGGGAAATGCACGGCCAGGCAGCGCTGCCGCAGGGCACACGTCGCCGGGCACTGTAGCCTTCACACCTGGCTCGATGGTGCTTCCCGCAGGGGCCACAGTCAACATGCATCCGTCCTGGAGTGGAACAGCAAACAACGCCTGGCTATTCGCTTGCTGGCGCCCCAGAATGAAGCCCCGCAGTTGGGGCTCCAACAGCAGATTTACAATCTCCCAGCCTGGATGCTGCAAGTGGAGACCCAGCTGTTGGCAGAGCTGGGTTCTCTGGAGGCCTCTCCCCATTGACTTGCAGCCGCCCCCTTCTCCCTGGGTGCTCCCGAATGTGGCCTCCGCCCTCGTGTCTGTGCTGATGGCTCATTGCTAGGGCGGGTCAGGATGAAGACATGGAGATGTACCTCTCTTGGCAGCGGGGCTCCCGGACCTGAGCTCTCTTGACCTAAAGAGGAGCTGGCACTGTCATGCGCCGAGGAAGGCAGGTGCTGGGGTGTGGTCACGTCGCTCCTGAGGAAGGCAGGCCGGTGCCTGCGGGCGAAATGCTCGCTGGTGGAGGAGGACAGGGCTGGCGAGCCTCGGGGCACAGATCTGCCTGCTCCGGACTCCAAGTCCCTGCAGGGGGCTTTGCTCTCGCCCGCTGGACAGGGGCAGGAGTGGGGAGTTCCCCGGGGCCTTTTACAACAGGTTCCCAGTCGCAGAGGCGCAGGTGGCACATGCAGCACACGCTCTGGGGCACCGAGCTCGGGGTACATACGGCAGCCCCAGGAGCCCGCGGACAGCTGGCAGCAGGGCGGGTGAGAACCTGCTCCCGTTTCAAAGGCCTCTGTGCCCGGGCTTCCCTCACATCTGCGCAGGCAACTAGGACAAGCGCATCAGGCTGTTGAGGGTCAAACAGGCTTCTCGAAGCCTGGACAGGAGCGACCTCCGTCTGCTCTTGAGGACACAGTCAGGCGGATTGTTTGGAAAGGCAAGGAACTAAGACAGGAATTCCAAGAAGGGTGGGTTTTGCCTCATTTTCTGTCTCCCTGAAAATAGGAAATAAAACTTAGGCATCCGAGGTGAGACAGCCTCATCGCGCTGGCAGGGCCTGCACGCTCTGCTCTCCATGAGCCAGAGAGAAAGCGCAGACATTCTTTAAATTGCAGTTTGGGCTCTGGTGTCCCTCCTGCTTTGACCTCTTCCTCTCTAGAGGCCCCGGCAGCCAAGGGCCAGCCAGCTGGGCAGTCCCATTGTCCTAGCGGGCTCCCCGCGCAGTGATTACCACTTGTCTGATCTCTCACTATCTGCTCTGCTGTCAAATATTTTCCAACATGAAGGGTCCAGAGGGGAAAGGAGCTTAGCTGGGCATGCTCACCCCCAGACCTCATGAGGACACTGACATAGGGTCACGGACCTCAGCCACACCGGGGCAGGCCACCTGCAGCCTCCTCCAGGCAGGGAGCCCCTACGTTTGGAACCCCCTGCAGGCCCCCCACTTCACAGCCTCCCTTGACTTACAGCTTTAGGACCAGTTTTGAGTCTGGAGGTTTAAAGAGTTTGACTCCAGAACCCCAGCACCAGGGCCAGTGCTCAGGCAAATTCCAGGGGCAGAGCCGCCACCCCCTAAACTCTGTCCTTCCAGCCTGTGAGCCCAGAGGGGCCCGGGTCAGGAGGCAGGTCCATGCTGCTGTTTGTCTGGGTGGAGCCTACTGGGACTCTTTTATCTGCCTTGCTGGCTCCAGAGCCCCAGGTGTGCGGCAGCCCTGACCAGCCCTGAGCACCCAGCTGCCTGCTTGCACCCCTCGGCTGCACCCCCTGCCCAGCACACTCTTCCCAGAGGAGGCCAAAATCCATCCAGCCACTGAGCCACGGCCGGAGCCATGGTGGTAGGCCTGGGGAGGGGTCAGTCATGCTGGCATGAGCCCTGGCTGGGCCCATGGTGGGTGGAAGGCAAAATTAAATCAAGTCTGGGGCCCAGAGGAGGTTATGGGGACCCTCTGCAATTGGACTGGGGGTGCTGGAGAAGGTCTGGGGGTGGAAATCTGGTGTGAACTTCATTTGGTGTGTTCACCTGGTTGCTGTGTGAGCTGGGGAGCTCACTGCTCCTCTCTGAGCCCCCATGTCTCTCCTGAAGACGGGAGTAAGATGGCCTATTTCACGGCATTATTTTAAGGTCTAAACAAGATCTCTAGAGGGCCCCAGCACTGGGCCAACTCACAGTAGGTGTCCAACAAATGGGAGACTTACCCCAGGGCTCCCTGCTGGGGCTTGGAGGTCAGGAAGGCTGTTGTGGGGTCTCCAAGGAAAGCTGGTGGGAGGCTGCCTCTCCAAAGCCCAAGTATTCTGGGGTCGATCAGGCCAGCTCAGGTGGTCCTTTCCCTACTGTTTGCCTGGGCTGTGTCCCTTAGAGGGGCGCCCTGCACGTGGGGCAGGAGTTTCCTCAAGATCCACCCTGGCCCCATCTAGATCCTTCTCCTTAGCACAGACGGAATTCCCTGCCTGCCCTGCCCATCTGGCCGTGAGCAGCCAGGAGAGCGGGAGGGCGCAAGTGCTGCTGCCTCAGAGCGTCCCCGTGCATGCCCTCGCCCCGCGCGCGTGCCGTCCCCAGGATGGAGGGTGATGGGGGCGAGGCTGCCCTCTGCCTCTCATCTGATGCCAGCGGGGCCGCAGGTGGGGTCAGGGCAGCCGCAGCCCTTATCTGCTGTGACCTGGCTCTGTCGCAGGTCCACGGGTACAAAGGGGTCACTTTCCAAAACTGGGCGAGGACCTATGGGTGCTGCCCGGAGATGTACTATCAGCCCAGGTCCGTGGAGGAGGTCCGAGAGGTGAGTGACCCCCTCCGCCCCCTCTGGGATCTCCCCCCGATCCCCGCCTCACCTGCCGTGACCCACGATGGCCTCAGCCCTCACCGCCTCGCTTTCTCCTCGCCCCCTGCACACGTCCACGGGCACAGCAGTAATGTTATTAAAATGCCACTTGGGCCGGGCTCCCTCCCTGGGTAGAGCCCTCAGAGGCGTCCTGTTGTTTGTGGGATAAACCTGACCCCAGACTCCCCAGGCCCCTGCTCGTCACCCCGGCCACATGTTCTTCCTCGGGCTCCTTGTGTCGGCAGGTGCTGGCGCTGGCCAGGCAGCAGAACAAGCGGGTGAAGGTGGTGGGTGGGGGCCACTCACCCTCCGACATCGCCTGCACCGACGGCTTCATGATCCACATGGGCAAGATGAACCGGGTCCTCCAGGTACTTGGGAACTTGGCTCCCCGCCCTGCTGGCTCCCAAGCTGCTCCAGCCTCTCCCCTCGGGTGTCATACCCTCCCGCGGCCTGACCTTCCCCACCTAGCTCCAGCCTGCACGCTTGCAGGACTAGCTCTAGCAGGCCTAGCTCCAGCCTGCACGCCCCAAGGAGAGGACTCCACGTGCTCCCTCAGCTCCCCAGCAGAGCCTCTCTCTCTCTCCCTGCTAGGCTTTGCCTCTTGAGAGACTCGGGGGAAAATTGCAAGTCAGGTCTCCAAAGGTGGATTTACAATGACAAACCAGAAGAACTTGCACTTAACCCCTTTGTAAGGGCAGGAATGGACCACAGTGCAGGCTTTCTGATCCAGCAGACCGGGTAAAGGAGGAGTTCTGGAGCCCTTAGTGGCTTTTTGCAAGTCTTTTTATTGGGATTACCAGGTACACAGCAGGCAGGGGTGCTGGGGGGCCGGGAGGCTGGTAGGCCTCCCAGCCCCCAGCAAGTCTTCACTCTAGCTGGGCGCTCCGGC